ACCTTCTCTGTTTCTAGCAACACACACTGTTCGGCATCTTGGTACACTGCTCCATGTTAAGATGGCTGCCAAAAATGGCCTGATCGTCTTTGTTTACTTGTAAGGTGCTCTGCTATGTTCTGGTCAAATAGATTGGACACAGCCGTTCCACGGTTCGGCTCCAGCGTTCAGCACCATTATGATGGAAGCCCAGAACAAATCCACTTTACATTTAGGTGTCAGCGTGTTGTCATGGAAAGGAGATACCTCTGTACAGTAAGTGAACGATATCCGAATGCGCTTTTGTATACTCCTGAACTCTCCTGGTCAGTTCCGGAGCTTTGGACACAGTAGGAGGAGGAGAAAGGAGATTTTTGTTCGCCCCCTATTTTAGAAAAATTGAAAATGATCTGTCAAAGGCAGCGTGATACAAGAATATGTGATGGATAGGTTTGTCTTACTCTGCCTCTCAGTCTTTCACTCTTTGCTGAAATTCTTTGTTTGTTTTCTCTGAGGAAAGTCATCATTTCCATCACCCTCCACATTTCAACCAAATTCACCGCATCTGTCCATGCCTGGCCAAAGGGGAGAAAAAGCCATTCTTTCAGAACTGAATTTCATTTCCTTGCTTGCACATACAGTTTTTATGATTTGTCGATAGTTCGGGATTACAGTGTGATGTTATTTTATGTGTGCGCAACATAGCGTGGCACGGCAGTGACTGCTGTTATTGAAATTTTGATTATGATTAAATTTGTGTACATGCATCTCCCCAGAGATAGTCAGCTGATTGTGGAGGTGTATTTTCTCGCATGCATTTAAATTGAGCCATAATGGCAGCTCCACAGTGGACCACCAGAAATCCAGGAACATTTCTGGTCCATTTGTTTGGAAAAGATTGCCGGATAAACCTATCAGAAAGACAACCCCACATTAACAGGCCTTCCTGATTACCATGCTAGCTGAGTGATAGTACACAACAGTGAACCACAGCCTCTGTTATTTTCATCTTGTGTGTACGGAGCTTTGCTGCTAGAAGAACATTGAACCTTAAAAGGTAGAACATAATCAACCGGTGGAGCACTGGCCTCCACTCTGTGTTTGGCAGTTGTGCTAATGACATTTCACAAGATTAGCTTTTCACTGTGGTGTTGTTACTGACCTGCTCTGTGTGTCCGTGTGAGTGCCTTCGTCCAATAAGGCCCCAGCCCTCCATCAACCCCTCTGGTTTTTTTTTTCTTGCTTCTCCTGCTTTGCACTCACTCCACTTCTTTTTTTCACCCAGACCTGTTATTAAATCTCATAGCAGTTAGTTGATTTGATCAGTGTGTGCTGTAACGTTGTTTACCCCAGTGGGACCTGGGTGTTTGCAGTCTCTCTCCTCAAGTCAAGCTATAAAGTAATTTCTCTGGGGAAGCTAAAGCCATCTTTTAACTGGATGGCAGCTCTACATGTTCAGGCTTAGGCACATGTATACTGGTCTATGTCACAAGTGCAGTCAGTACAAAGATCTGGAGCTTGTGCAGAATGCCCATGGCGGTAGTTTGGTGTGGAAGCCTGGTGTCCTTCCCTGTGTTATTATAGGATTGAACTGGTGCAATAACTCCCACAGACAAGGGCTGGCTCAAACAAAATGCAAAGGCAAACACAAAGTCATGAGCAAACGCTCTCTGTTTGTTTGGATGTGGATGTTGTCGATGACTCAAAGCTATCAAAGCCCAGAGCTCTGGATCACCACAAGGCCCCTCCTATATGTACCCAGAGCAGATGGTGGCCAGTGGCACAATAACACTGCTCGCTATTGCACGATGTTAGAGCGCAGATAGTGACAGATGTCAGCGTTTGCCATGTCCAAGAAAACAGCTAATACGACAGATAGATTCAGACTCCTGTCTCTGCCGCCTGCACTGAGGAGGACAAGTCTATATTTAAGCCTGATGTGTCTTGATTTTTTTTCCCATCTCTTCAATACTGTGCCTTTGACATCTGCAATATTCAGAGTTTTGATGGGGGAAGGATCTTTCTACATTTTCTGTGTGTGCTGCGAGTCCTCGTGTACCTTGCATGTGGTACATATGTAAAGGAGAAGCAAATGGTTCACAGCTTGAAATTCTAAGAGTGTTTTCTTAGGTCTGAGGTGCAGGACAGCATTGAACATTATTTCCTGTCCATAGTAATGTTTCAGCATGTTGTAAGAATGATAAAATGTAGCTAAGTACACCTGATGGAAACTGAGCTTACTTTCTGCGAGTACTTGGAAGCAAGTAGTTGAATTAATCAACAGGAAATTAACCAACAACTCTAATAATCTGTTAAATGTTGAAGTCATGGAAAAATACCAACTTTGCTAGTTTGAGCCTTACAACAAGAAGGATTTCTTTATGTGGTTGTATGTTGGTAACACCTGCATTTTTAAAAACTATTTTCATTTTATAGACCAAACAGTCAATCAGTTAAGCACCCAAGTATTTGCCAGATTAATGGAAATAAGCCAAATTCTGCATTAATAAAACATAGATCCTAAGTAAAGTTGAACTAGTTAACAAGAACATCTTTTATATATGCAGTTACAGTATATATGCAGATTTGTGCCTAAGTATGCATGTGTGCTCAAATGCGGATGCACCTTTGTGTGTTTGTGTGCTTGAGGTATGTGGTCTAAATGTATGGACGTTGCACACATTACACAACCCCCTCCCCAGCCAGCGTGACAACAAGCACAGAATGGGTTGGCACAACTCAGAAATTATTTATCTGGCTCCCCTTCTCTTCTCCAGCATGGTTTTTGTCGAGTCAGAGGAAACCATCTGCTGCCCGGTGATAATGGGCGGCTGGGGAGGAGGGAACTAGAAACAGGGAGAGCAAATAAAATTGAGAGCAAATTTCAGGCGCTGTCCCAGAACCTATAGTACCTTCCTGCCTGCCTGCAGCAAGCCTGCCATCTTAATAAACATCCCGTCTGATATCTCCTGGCTTCTCTCTGTGTGTGCATACATGTATTTTCACCTGTTGTGTGTGCGCGCACACACTTGTGTTTCCGCTGTGTATGTGTGTGTTTCTGTGTGTGTGTGTATTTGCTATTTAACCTTGATCATTTTCAACTCAGGATTGTTCCTGAGCCTGGCTGATATGCTGTCAATGTGATGGCGCTGACTAAGAACCTTTTTCACCTCATTTTTTTTCTCAGTACAGTAAAACAGT